GACCTTGGCACCAAGGAGCAGTAGAGGCACTTGTCAAGAGTGCCAAGAGAGCTATTCATTTTCCTATCCACAATATCCGAGCGATTATATGCATCTGAATTTCTGACAGTATGTACAGAGGTAACAAACCTGATGAATGAACGTCCTATTTGTGCTCGGATCAGTGAAGACTCAGACATAACAGTCTTCACCCCAAACCTCTTATTACTTGGTCGAGCTACAGCCAAGAATCCAGGCGGATGGCAACCCAGGTGTTCGGTTGAATCAAGATGTCATCTGGTCCAGACAATCACTGATGAATTCTGGAAGAAATGGACTGAGTTGTTTGCTCCAACACTTGTTGTCCGACAGAAATGGTCAACGTTTTAACGCAATCTCCAGCCAGGTGATGTAGTTCTTGTTGCAGACAAAAGTGTTCTACGCGGACACTACAGGCTTGGATTGATAAAGGAAGTATTCCCCGGCAGTGACGGCAAAGTGTGCAGAGTTACTCTGACCTACAAGAACCCTAAACAGTCGGTGTACACTGGAGTGAAGGACACTACAGTCTCTCGCAGTGTGCAGCGTCTTGCGTTGCTTGTTCCAGTCGACATGTCTTCAGAGATGGAGGATTCAAGTTCGTGTTGCAAAGGATTGTAGTTCCAGTAATGTTTTCACAAGAGTGACTTTAGTTTTAGATGATTCTAGACAGACACTGATCGCATCGACGCTTGTCCTCCCGGAGTATTGGAATCAGTTATTCAGAGACATTAAGTTTTATTAAGTTGAGTGCAACTCGCTGCTCACAGTAGTTTTGGTATCAAGGGGCATAACTCTAATTGGGGACGTTATGAGCGGAAGTTGGCGGTTAAAAGGAAGGATAAATTGGAAGATTTATTTTGAAGTAAAAAGCAGGTTAAAGTCTGTTTTCGTCAGGAAAGTTTCACCTGACGTTTCAAATCACTTTAATCTTTTACTACGCTAGGTTATGCTTGAGTTTCAGCGCAGTTACATCTATTTCTCATGAATGTTTCATCAAGTCGCAAGTGACTTTCATGTATGTGTTGGAACCGTGTTGTAACAGTGGAGTTCTGGATTAAACAATTTAGACTTTGAGTTGATATTCCATGAATACGAAGAGACTTAGCATTACACCCACATTGCAAAACAATAAAAACGCATTTTGTCCACTCCCTCATTCACTCAACCACTTCACCAACCATACACTCTCTCAATCAACCATCCTCTCGACCAACAAACCTTCAACCAATAAACCTTTCAACCACCGAAACACTCACACAAATTATGAGGAATTCAGCCATTTCAGCACAATTAACCAGGAATGATAAATTCACAAAATTTCAAAACCTTATTTCAAAAGTGACTTCTTTTGTCGCTAGCTTTGCATAGATCTTATCTAGGTCACAGGTTGGGATTCAACAATCAACTAAAATACTTACCAGAAAGAGAGTTCGGCATGGATCCCCAATCAAGCCTTGGGTCTAGTTTTGGTGAGCCTGATCTTTATATTAATCCAGGAGCCTGTTTTCAGTGAATGTTTAGTTGAGATGTGTCTCCTGCCCATAATTATGGAGACGTGTCCGTGAGACACCACATGTGTCCACAGTTGTATTTAAGACAGCAGGTGATAAGAGGAGTTGCTGCAGTCTTTAAAGGATAATGTAATTTGATTTTGTACTGTGTTGGAAAGTACGTCTATGGAATTTATTATAAGAGAACGGTGTAGTAATCATGTATGGATGGGACTTGGCGTGGACAGAATATTGGGAGAGACCCAACTAGCCAAAGTTAAAAGTCGAAATGAACATTGACTACATGTAACAATGCAGATGAGTCAAGGTACAAGATGTGTCAAGGTCATGCCACAATTCTGCTGTGCCCAATTATGTGGTATCTCGTGCATGTGGGTTTGGCCCAGTCTAGGACCTGTTTCAGTGCAGATGTTAATTCAAAATTGCTTTCATCACGAACTAGGATTGATGTTGTTTTGCTCTGTAATATAGTAGATCGTCAGCATGATAAAGACGCAGACACAGATATCAGGTACTAGAAACAGATCACCCCTGAAGACACCAGAAATGGGCTCCACACATTTTATCTACGTGGGGCTTCGAACCCGACCTCGGGCGTGACGGGCCGGACCTTAACCACTATGCTTCTCCTTCCCCCTCCACGGCCTCTATGTACTACGGTTTTGGCGAAACATTCAGGTGTGAAGTTTAAAGAAAGGTTTGAAATCAGGTTACATACTCCTGTATTCTAATGAAACGACGCGCAAAATCAAAGCAACGACAAAGCGATGTGTGCAATATCGTGTTATTCCCGTAACAACTCTAACCCTTGCCGCCTACATGCTTTCTCTTAAGCAAATATATTCGCAATTTAGATCTCAATCAATCAATCAATAGAGCTCAAAAACGGGTGGTTGGCGTGCTCGGTGATAACCCGTCGTTAACCAGTCCAATCTAACTTCACACCGACTCGGTGGAACGAGGAAGTTGAGGTAAGTGGGCGTGCTGGCGATATTTGCCAGATTTCATATTTCATTTCAATTCTAACAATGTTAAGATAGAGAGACGTCAGTACGCTGTGATTGGACGACCAGGTCTGAAATAATATGGTGGTATAAAATTTCAGCCATGGTGTTGTTTTTCCTGTGTGTGACCTTCCAACTGAGGGAACCGACTACCCTCATCTCAAACAAGTTTGTGTGTAGATTTACCGATACACTGACGCCAGTTAATTACTATGTCTATCATATGTACATATAAACACAGTTTTGAGACAGTGTCGGTGTATAGTGGCAAGTGTTATTGCATTTGTTGGGAAATCTCTTACAGCTTGCTTTCGTTTTGGAAATGAGTTTTGCAATCTTGGCCAGTACATCATATACGCGACAAAAAACGTAAATGCACCAATTGGAATAATACTAATATGAAAAGCCTTTACAGGGGAACAAGACCAAGCTAAAAAATATTATAAAATCTAAACGTAATAAAGTTTACATGTTGTATAGGGGTGACATCATCCTTGGGTTGTTAGGTGACGTCATGGAAAACCCATTCTTATCAGTATGCACGTGATTCCCTATATCCATTTATCAATCGTTATGTACACAATATTGACAAGAGTGATTATTTTTGTCTTCTTTATCAGCAGTAGTAGATAGACGATATGGGAATGTGAGAACAAGTGACAACATAGAAATGAATCATTATTATTATAGGATATTTATATAGCACACATATCCACGCAACTAGTAAATGCACAAGGTGCTGGAGTGTTCCCATGATCAACGGATGTCATTTTTCTGGCACTGTTTTAACCAACTCAACTCCCTTGGTAGTATTCAAGTCATGCAGCCTGTTACCCTACAGGGTACCCATTTCAAGCTGGGTGAACTGGGCCCCCAATTCATGTAGTCAAAGTATTTTGTCCAATGATGCTGCACGTTACTTTACCCGCAACTTGGTGTCTGCATGTGTTCGTGTGTCCACCATCTGGTCACCTGCCATCGGATGATATTTCTACATCAACGTAAAAATGATGTAAATCACATGACGTATTACTATGACAACTCTTGTCTTTTTGTACCCTCATAAGGTCATGTGTTATGCAGTATAGTTTCTTTATCTTTAACCACATGGGCACCATGTGTGGAGCCCATTTCTGGCGTCCCCCGCCCTGATATTGCTGGAAAATTGCTAAAACGGCGTAAGACTAAACTAAACTCAATCAATCAATCAATCTTTACCTTTAACAGGAAATGGTTTAATCCAGTTTTACTGATTTACTACAAAAAGAGGCGTAACTTTATCAGTTACCACATCCTCCTCACACTGTTCATGAAATTCATGTCACTTGGAATTTGAGGATTACTTCTCACAAGTTACTTACTTACCAAGTTCTGACTATTTTTGTCAGGTGTTGTTACAGAAACAAAGACACACAAAGGTAAACATAAATCATCAATTAAATTGATTGGCTGTTCAGACGTTAAAACAGACAGATAACTAGACACACTTGATTCAGCTAGGTCAGGGCCTCATCAACATTAGTTCCCCGTCAAAACCTAGCAGCCGGGACATACGTATATACTCAGAGATAACTTTGGCTATATACAGTTACTCAAACATTTCAACCTACATAGACTGGGTTGTAGTCTCTGTTACATTATTTTCATGTCATCTTAGGTTAAACGTCTTTTCAATAAATGATGTAGAACAGGATAACGAGCTGGTTGGATTATCCATTGATGAGGTCTCAGCAACAAGTGGGTCACGTGAGAGGCTTATCTGTTGATGACGTCACGTGTTGGCGATTAAATAATCATTAATCAAACTCATCATTTTAAATAGGCCATACATGCCAATATAGCCATAACTTGGTAATCCGTGTGAGAAGTAATCACCTAACTCCAAGTTATTTCAAGAATTTCATGAACAAGTGATGATGATGTGGTAACTGATAAAGTTGTCTTTTTGTACTAATTCAGTAAAACGGGATTAAACTAGTTCTTGTTAAGGTAAAGAACCCCTGGGCAGCAAGGGTAAAACCATGTGTGTCACGTGATACTTCACAAGATACTGACTGCAGGTGAACTTGTCCTTTGATGCTTGAGTTTTCCCCATATATCTTACAGTGAATATGAAAAAAAAGGATTATGTATAATGTCTGATTCACTCAGTGATTATACATAACCACTGAAATTTTCAGGGATTATACATAATCACTGAGAAATAGACTAGAATTTTAGATAGTCATCTGTGACGCTTGTCATCATTATCATGTATTACATCTGCTTCTTCTGTTTGCAGATGGCGACGTCTCAGAAAATGCAAGAACATTTCCTCACATGCACCATATGTACAGAAGTGTTTGACAATCCATGCACCCTTGTCTGTTATCACACATTCTGTCGAAAATGTGTCGTCAACTACACCAAAACCAAACCGGATGCCATCAGTGCCAAGTCTCTGCAGTGTCCTTTCTGCAGCAAAATGACGAAAGTGAGTGCCCCTGAGAGATCAATAGATGAGTGGGCGGATGATGTCAAACCCAGCTTTGTCATCCAGGGATTGCTGGACTCATTTGGCCCCGGATGTAAAGGTAAGGATCAATGGTAAACTGGTACTGCAATGCACGATGGTCTATCGGATGTGTCTTGCACCACACTCAAAAGATTGGAAGGATAAACACGTGTAAAATCTGTTAAATATTCGTCTGTGGCCGTGCCATGTTCGACTCTTAACCGAAGGCAACACACTCCCTTACTCAATGTGAAAATGACTGATCTACATTCATTATTTACTGATACAAATTTGAATTTGTACCCCCACAATACTCATGAATGTAGTGGTCCTGCATAGCTGTTTTCCAAATATCTTGGTTGAAGTTAAAATGTAGGGTATTTAGGGTTCAAGTGATACCTGATTTTTCATTATGTCAAACTAGTCATTCAAGTTCCCGAAATCTGAAGTCAGTCTTGCAGATATCTTTGTTTTATATATCGTGTTGTGAGGTATAGTTTGGCATGAAATGCATGTGGACCCGGTTTTTTGTAAATATCTCTTCATCCAAAGATCCAATCGATCTCAAACTGGGAGGGTGGATGTTTTGTAAGACAACCTAATCATATTGTAAATCACCGATTTTATGCATTTGTATTAAAGAATCTGTCTATGTAACTGTCAACAAAATAAACAGCAGAACGCAGACTGCTTGCAGAGGGACGGAGCCAATGACCTGTAACAGCGGCAGTGTTGGGTCATAAAGGTAAATGCACGTGCAGTTAATAATAGTTACCTGTGCACTGCACAGTGATAGACCGTTTGGATCATTCACATTGACTACTTCTAGCTGTCACCATGAAAGCTTATTCAGATGATGCTAAACGTTTAATTAGAAATGTGTTGAATTTTTGTAAAAAAAGAGAGCAAACGTAGCAAACCGATTTATAAGGTGTCTGATTACATGAAACGTACAACTTTTGCTCTTGGCATGAAAAAGAACATCGTGCTAAAAATTGTGAAAAATAAACCAACAACCAATAAACAAAACCTTGTACAAAAAAGGTAGGCATCCAAAGTTAGATTCTTTTGACATCAGGGTCATCAGAGATGTCATTCGCCGGCTTTTTGCTAGAAATGAACACCTGGCCACAAGAAAGTTAAAACACATCCTTGCAGAGGATCACGACATTAATGTTTCTAGGTTTATGCTAAGCAAACTACTGCTCAAATTTGGATACAAGTACAAGAAGGTAGCAAACCAGAAACTTGTAATGTGTGAGAGATCTGATAGTGATAAAATAAGGTGTAACTATCTGAGAGAAATTAAGCAGGCAAGAGAGGATGGGTTCGAACCCATATATCTGGATGCGACCTGCTGCCAGACAGTGGCTACCCACTGATCCCAATTATGGTAGGAAAATACCAACAGGCAAAGGTGAACGTTTAATCGTTCTTCATGCTGGTTCCCACCGTGGATTCCTACCTGGGTGTGATCTGGTATTTCGGTCAAAGAGCACAGATGGACTATCATAAAGAAATGAACTCAACGGTTCTCACACAGTATGTTGAGGAACAATTGTTGCCAGCTCTGCCTTACAAAAGTCTTGTTGTCATGGACAATGCTCCCTATCACAGTGTTCGAGATCCAAACAATAGGTACCCAACTTCCAATACAAAGAAGTCAGATATGCAGCAATGGCTAACAAATAACAATAGACAATTTTCAATTAAGGCCACCAAACCACAGTTGTACTCTTTGATTAAACCTAACAAACCTCCACCCACATATAACATTGACAACATGCTACGCCAACACGGCCATAACGTCTTGAGATTACCACCGTACCACTGTGATCTCAACCCAATCGAACTTATCTGGGGAGACCTTAAAAGTACAGTGACCCGGAAAAATCAATCATTCAAGTTGAATGATGTCAAGCACATTGTCAACACTGCTATATGTGACATTGACATTGCACGCTTGCATGCATGTGTTGAACATGTCAAGAAGGTGGAGAAAGAGTACTGGCTCAAAGATGGCTTGAAGGAGCAAACAGTTAATCCAGTTGTCATTTGTCTGGACACTGATGACTCCTATGTGGAAAAATGGAGTGAACCTGATGAAGTTTAATTCTGTTATTATATTAACAGATAATACTAGTATCCAGCCAGATATGCTCAAAGAAATATAACTTCTTTCACAATGACAGCACTGACTAATTCCAACGACTTAAAGTGTAAAATGAAACACTCATTTCACATAAAATTATCATGAAAATATAAATATTAACTATCTATCTGCTTAAAGCTATTAGAAATGCATTGCTTAATTTGGAATGTGAACGACATCAAAACATAACACTTTTGTCTTCATTCTATCTTTTCTTCAATGAGTGAGCATGATTGAGCGTGCTTGTGTCCGAGGGAACGGGGCTTTAACAGTTGTTGAGTTCTAACCATAGGTGGTCCGATTAATGATTTAGTGTAAATATACTTTCTGTGTTCTTTAAATGCATTTCCATTTAGGTACTGCATAAACAAAATATGACATTAACATTACAAATTTAAAGTTTTTAACCTACAGAATAATTCTCACAAATGAGTTTTGTGGTTAATGTTGAACAACTCAGAGAAACAAACTCCGTATGATGGTTAACAGTTGGCACCCACCTTACCCTTTTCACGACCTGTGACACCTCTTCATACCTGTCACATGCATAGCTGACCTACATTGACGAACGTTGAACTTTATGACCCAACACTGCCGCTATTACAGGTCATTGGCTCCCTCCCGCTCTGCTGTTTGTTTTGTTGAAAGTTACATAGACAGATTCTTTAATACAAATGCATAAAATCGGTGATTTACAATGTGATTAGGTTGTCTGACAAAACATCCACTTGCACAGTTTGAGATCGATTGGATCATTGGATGAAGAGATATTTACAAAAACCGGGTCCACATGCATTTCATGCCAAACTATAGCTTACACAAACATTACTAGTAACAACAATTCATAAACCACCAAAAATTGTGCAACTACAAATACAGATAGGATGAGTGAGTTTGGTTTTATGCCGCCTTTGGCAATATTAGAGCAATATCACGGCGGGGAAACCAGAAATAGGTGTCACACATTGTGCCCATCTGGGAAATCGAACCCGGTTTTTCGGCGTGACGATCGAACGCTTTGACTACAAGGCTAGCCTACCGCCCTTAAATAGCTAGACGTGAGAACAAACACTCGATGATACGATGCTGAATGCTTTTCATTCAACCTTGGTTTTTTTGTCCAGATACAAAGAACTGCACGTGCTGTCATCGCGAAGGGGAGAGAACTCCAGCGACTGTGTGGTGCTCGGTATGCGATGACGCCCTGTGTGATGTATGTGCTGGTGCACACAGCCGCATCTCATCCACTCGTCATCACGATACAACTGCCCTGACTAGTGAAGCCATTATCCCCAGGAAACGAAACCTCAAGTGTAAAGAACACAAGGATGAAAACATCAAATTCCTGTGCAAAGATTGCAAGAAAGTCACCTGTCACACCTGTTGTGTTATCTATCACAGGAAATGTGAATCAGTTGTCACACTGGAGTCGGAATTACCTGCATTAAAGTCTCAGCTGTTGAATAAGAAGGAAACTATTTCGAAGAAGCAAATCCAAATGGAAGCAAAAGTTGATGCTGTTAGAGTGAACGTGGTTTCTGAAAAAGATCGATATGCAAGAATGGAACATGACATCAAGTCTTTTGGTAACAACGCGAGAGAGAAGATAACTCTTATGGAAAATAAACTTCTAGATGAACTGAAAGAAGTTTCTGAAAAGCACATTGAACAACTGACAGCTGACCTAAAGTCGAGTGAAATATCAGTACAGATGTACCGACAACAAACTGAGCTGATAGGCCAGATTCTACAATCCGATGGTGACATGGACGTGTATGAGATGTATCAGGGATGTGAGGCCGGTGATGTGGATGCTGTCGGAGACGAAGACGTGAAGAAGAGGGGTAGAATAGCCAGGATCATGTTCAGACAGAACGAAGATCTGCTGAGTAGAGCAATGGACGATCTACAGCTGGGTGAGATAGATGTCCAGTATGACGGTTTGGTGAACTTGGAGGCAACACCTGTATCTGAAGACACCAGTAACGTACTGGACCTGAAGGGTGCTCGTGTGTCACAAGACACTGGTAACGTGCTCGGCCTGAAGGCTGCTCCTCTGTCACAAGACACTGGTAACGTGCTGGACCTGAAGGCTGTGCCTGTGTCACAAGACACTGGTAACGTGCTGGACCTGAAAGGTGCTCCTGTGTCACAAGACACTGGTAACGTGCTGGACCTGAAGGCTGCTCCTGTGTCACAAGACACTTGTAACGTGCTGGACCTGAAGGCTGCTCCTCTGTCACAAGACACTGGTAACGTGCTGGACCAGAAGGGTGCTCCTGTGTCACAAGACACTGGTAACGTGCTGGACCTGAAGGCTGCTCCTGTGTTACAAGACCCTGGTAACGTGCTGGACCTGAAGGCTGCTCCTCTATTACAAGACCCTGGTAACGTGCTGGACCTGAAGGGTGCTCCTGTGTCACAAGACCCTGGTAACGTGCTGGACCTGAATGCTGCTCCTGTGTCAGAAGACCCTGGTAATGTACTGGACCTGAAGGCTGCTCCTGTGTTAAAGGACTCCATTAACGTTAGGGTAGCAGGAGGCCAGTATGAAGTATACCCTGCTGACTTAACAGTGTTGGCGGTGAATGGTACAGACACATTGGTTGTAACAGACTACACCAACAACAGTGTGAAGTCCTTCTACACCGGGAACAAACAACGAAGTCACAGCAAGCTCCAACTGGGATGGTCTCCGTGGGGTATAACAAGGCTGAAACACAACCAGGTGGCCGTCACTGTAACGGATACCAGACAGATTGTAACAGTTAAAGTGAACCCTGATCTGGTACTGCTGTCAACCATCACAACCAGCAAACAGTACAGGGGTATAACGTCTCTGACACCATCAACACTAGCAGCAGGTTCTGATAGTGATAAATATGTGGATATTCTGGACATGAGAGGAAACGTCCTGAAGTCGATGAACGCTGTAGTTAGCGGAAAAGAAATTATACATTATCCTTCCTTTCTTTGTACAACAAGAACAGGAAACATCCTTGTGTCGGATGGCGGTTCGAAGTGTGTCCTGTGCCTGACAGCTGAAGGGGACGTTGTGTTCACCTACCCTACACCAGGACGCACAACACTGAGAAGTCCACTTGGTATCGCAAGTACCAGCACTGGTGACATCCTTGTTACTGACTACTATCAACACACTGTTGTTCATCTCACTGAGTCAGGACAGTTTGTCAGAAACATACTCACTGCAGATGATGGTGTCTCGTACCCGCACGGAGTTTGTGTAGGTGGACGTGGTCGTGTGTATGTTTGTAATTACAGTTCAGGTGAAATCAAAGTATTCAGTTTCAGTAACACAAAATAGATCTTTGATTCTTTCTCAAGTGATCATTGCATCCGTAAATATTCCAATTAACTACATTTACAACGACCTCCTGACTGTAATGCACTGTGTGTCTGAGTATATCTAATATATAGTGTGAATGAGTATTTCTTACTGCATAGTGTGAATGAGTATATATCATGTATAGATTGACTAAGTATATCTAATATACTGTGTGACTAAGTATATCTATCTAATATACTGTGTGTCTGAGTATATCTCATGTATAGCGTGACTAAGTATGTCAAATATACTGTGTGTCTGAGTATATCTAATGTACAGTGTGTCTGAATATATCTAATGTACAGTGTGTCTGAGTATATCTAATGTACAGTGTGACTGACCATATCTAATATACCGTGTGTCTGAGTATATCTAATGTACAGTGTGACTGAGTATATCTAATGTTCAGTGTGTCTGAGTATATCTAATATACTGTGTGTCTGAGCATATCTAATGTACAGTGTGTCTGAGTATATCTAATATACTGTGTGTCTGAGTATATCTCATGTATAGCGTGACTAAGTATGTCAAATATACTGTGTGTCTGAGTATATCTAATATACTGTGTGTCTGAGCATATCTAATGTACAGTGTGTCTGAGTATATCTAATATACTGTGTGTCTGAGTATATCTAATATACTGTGTGACTGAGTATATCTAATATACAGTGTGTCTGAGTATATCTAATATACTGTGTGACTGAGTATATCTAATATACCTGAGTATATGTAGTATATTGTGTGTCTGAGTAGATCTAATGTACAATGTGACTGAGTATATTTAATGTACAGTGTGACTGAGTATATCTATTATACTGTGTGTCTGAGTATATCTTATATACTGTGTGTCTGAGTATATCTAATGTACAGTGTGACTGAGTATATCTAATATACTGTGTGTCTGAGTATATCTAGTTATGTGACAGGTCTAACCACCTCGAATCAATCTAACAGATAGTTTGAAAGTGGAGAGTGCATCCGTTGACATCATTAGCTGTCGACAATCTGAAATGTTTAATTGTTTAATGGCAGCCATAATTTTATTGTCTTCCTTCAACTCACAAACAGCAAATCGTAAAATGACAAACTTCAATACAGTGATCTTCAACCGTTTGGTCAGTTGAAAGGTCTGTTCCTTCACATAGAAAACACTTCAAAAACAGATTTGTTCACACCTATCAGTATGATACAATTCAATACACTTGGTCCAGGTTTACAATTCTTGACATATCTATACATTGTTACATGTAGTGAATGTTCATTCCCCTTTCATGTCTTGGCTCTTTGCTTCTCCCCCCACATTCTGTCCACGCCAAGTCCCATCAATACATGATTACCCACTGAACTGTATCACCATTCTCTTGTAATAAATGTCATCGAACTATTTTCCAAAAGTCAAATCAAATTACATTATCCTTTAAAGACTGCAGCAACTCCTCTTATCACCTGCTGTCTTAAATAGAACTGTGGTCACATGTAATGATGTCTCACGGACACGTCTCCATAATTATGGGCAGGAGACACATCTTAACGAAACATTCACTGAAAAGAGGCTCCTGGATCAATGTAAAGATCAGGCTCATTCAAACTAGACTTGAATGTGGTCCCATGATGAACTCCTCCCTGGTGAGTATTTTAGTTGACTTTTGAATCCCAGCCTATGACCTGGATAACATTTTGATTGGTTGATTGGTTGAGTGGTTGGTTGAATGAGGGAGTGGGCAGTGCTTTGGTTTACCCAAGGAATAGAATCAAGTTTGAAACTGCTTTGAGCCCATGAACATATTTTTTACAATCAACTGGACCACTTCCATCCCAATGACAACAGAACGAAAGGTCAACACAGTCGTTTCATTTTAAGTATGTATCACGACTGAAAACAGCTGTGTAGTTCATGACTGAAACACATCTGATGTAACAACTGTTCCTTCTGCATGGCCATGGATGATATATAATAGAAGGCCAGTAATATGTTGTCAGTCTTCCAGTCCCACTTACCTCCATTGAGGACAAAGGACTTCGGGCCTGAGTCAGTCCCTGAAAAGTACTTCAGTCATTCCAAAGTCTGTGACTTGATACAGGAACCCGTTTCAAGGTTTGTAACTCAAACATGTAGAATTTTGAACTGACCATAAACACTCAGAACTAGAAATAACACCGGGAAATAACATTTATGAGGTACTTATGTTCAACCTTCAATAGGTAATAGTTTCAGTCTATAAATGTGGTTCTTGTCAAGTTTTGGACCATTCCAGCAATATAATGACCGTTGGTACCAGCGATTGTCTTCACACATTCGAGTGAACGGCTTTACCATGAGGCTACCTCATTACGCAGTGCCAGTTATGGCAACAAGGATTATAACATTTATATCAATGATAAACATGATCTTGTTAATGCACGAGGATGTTGTTACAGTAGAGATGAAGATTTTTTCACGCCATGATATACAGTTATCATTCTGGCGTATTCACTGTCGTGTTTTCAATAATATATCACGAATTGACAGACGGATGTTCTCACTATCATTTTCAAGTAAAACACGTAACACTGCTGGCTCCTAAAAAGTGCATAAATGCGTTGAAATGGACAGTGTGTAACGTGTTTCATCGCTGCGTCTCTGACATTGGGTAAATTTTGCTTGGTCAATATACCTTAGACGCTGCATTAAATTGGTATGAACCCATAGGGACTATTGATTAGCATAGGTTCCCAGCAACCTAATTTGTGATAAGAGGCGATTAATGGACCAGGTGTTCTAGAGCCGCATGAGCGTTGCTCACCGTGTCATTCACTGGATAATTTGGGTTGTCATCTGTATATACTCCGAACTTTGTACCATATTGGTAATCATTGAACTGTTCAGTAATTGCCTACTTCAAAGCTAGAAACTCAAGACGATGTCAAGAATATTTTTTCTCAGCTTTGTTATTTAGTCCTCTGCTGACATACGCAATAGAAGAAAGTTATCCAACAGCCGTGGATATGGGGATCTGTACAAGGCATTCCATCACTTCAAACAGCTTCAAACCTACGCAGATTACTATTTAAGCTCCATGCAGATGCCAGTACACATGGACTAGGGGCTGTTCTCTGTCAAGGGCAGGATGGACAGAAGCGAGTTATTGCGTATGTCAGCAGAGGACTAAATAACAAAGCTGAGAAGAAATATTCTTCTCATCGTCTTGAGTTTCTAGCTTTGAAGTAGGCAATTACTGAACAGTTCATTGATTACCAATATGGTACAAAGTTCAGAGTATATACAGATAACAACCCAAAGTATCCAGTGAATGACACTGTAACCATTTTAGATTAGCACCATGATAAAGACGCAGACACAGCTGTCAGGTACCACAAACAGATCACCTCTGAAGATACCAGAAATGAGCTTCGCACATTGTACATATGTTGGGCCTCGAACATTAACTCCAGGCGCAGTAGCCAGCCATTCTTTCTTGTAAGCCCAATGTTAATGCAAGAACACAATAACTGATACTCAACATCAACAGGGCTTATTGTATTGATATTATAGGAGTTACAGTTCATAATAAATGGCTGCTGCTGAGGACTTGATAAATATTATTGTGTTCACTTGAGGAGTAAAGTTGCTGATGAGTTGCTGAGGTTCAGAAAACTACAACAAACAATAGCCTTCGATGAAATTCAGAAAATGTACAAATTTCATAGCACATAACATTCAATATTTCATTCGAATAATATGTGAATACATTGAAATTGCAAAATTACCAACCACAAATTTACAAATAATTGGGTGATATATATTAACAATTTTTGCACTAACCAATTAACAGTTTGGCATATATACAATGTCATTGTAATTTAGAGATAGTACAACCTAGCAATGAAAGGGTAAAGTACTCACATATGTGTCTTTACATAGTTCAGCTTACAGTCAGCTTTGTGACAACCAGGCAGCATGGAGGTCCAATACACACTGGCAAGCATGTCCTCCAAAATGCATGAGCTTTGGAGAGGTCATGATGTGACCTGTGAGCTTTGACATCACACATGAAGGTTAAGGCCACAGGGTAGTGGAAATTTATTGGGCCACATGTAAATATTGTTTACACTTTTGACTGATAAGGATTTAATGGAAATGAACTTTAGATAATAAAGTGTTTTAGTTATTGGACCACCATGGACAAAATAATTAACTCCAATTGTAACAACTTAGCAAACAATTTCTTTTTAAAGAGTTTGTACATTGAAGTGTATGCAAGGAAATCTTGCATTTACACCCGATAGGTTGCCAAGCTTTATTTTTATAGTATTGAGGGCTTGCCCAGCTTTCACGGCGATCTTTAGCAAAAATAATGTGTAAGCCCGGTTTTTTTAATAATGTTAGCTACGCCCCTGACCTCGGACGTGACGAGAAGGATCTTCACCACGAGGCTTCCCCTTCCCACCCCAAGCACGATGGACTACGGATTTTGCGATACATGCAGTTGAAAGGGAGGTTTGAAATGAGGCTACATACTCGTGTGTTCAAATGAAACGACACGCAGAATGAAAGCATCGACAAAACGCTGTGTGCATTATCGTGTTATTCCCGTGAAACCCTTGACCCCTGTCGCCTACAAGCCTCCTCTGAAAGAAAATATACTTGTAACCCAGAGCTCAATAACGGGTAGTTGGGTGCTTACCGACAACCCACCGCTAACCAGTAGCTATTTATCCACGGGATCATCTCCCTCTACACCACCCGGGTGGAACGAGGAAGTAAAGGTAAGTGGGCGTGCTGGCGATACTTGCCAGATTTCACGTACAGTACAATTCTAACAATGACCAGGTATAGCGATATCATTACTCCGTGATTGATGGACAAGGTGTGAAGAAATACGGTGGTAATAGTGTACTAATTCGGCCATGGTGTTATGTTTCCTGTGTGTGACCTCCCCACTACTGTGTTGACGTGTCTACTTTCGTTATGTACAGGGACCCGACTACCCTGACGTCAGTGTATCGGTAGGTCCACACACCAACTTGTGTGAGATCAGTGATCTCACACAAGTTCTTGTGTGGACTTACCGATGCACTGACGTCAGTTAATTACTATGTCTATCAT